CCCCAAAACCCCAAAACCCCAAAACCCCACAAAATAATAATAACTTAATTTTTATGAAGAAACAAATTTTTAAAATCTTTAATATAGATATAATTTCATTTTTCACTCTCCTCATCCTCAAATCTTCGATCTTCTTCACCAATTTTTTCAAATTTGTTTTCTTTTATTTTCCTTTAATCTAACATCCACTAAGACTAAACCCTTAGTATCTCCAAATCTTTCTTGATTAGTTTATTCAATTTCATGTATTTTATCCTACTTTTGATTATCTACTAGTCCCTCCCAATTATAATTTTGAATAGAGTCCAATTCCATTTTTTATTCTTCAGCTACTTATGCTTAACTACTTGGCAATTAGTCTTAGTTTTATCTTTCATTTCTCTTCCTTCTATAAATTTCAAATCCCTCTCATTTTACTCCTCTTCCTGTATCACTTAATTAGTTTAATCATTAGAATTTAATTTAGAGTCTTCAGGTTGCAACATTTTTTTATTTAAATTAGATTCAGCCTCTCCATCATAAGATGCATTATTTTAGGTATTTTCTAGAACTTATTAATTATGTTCTTATGTTTCTTATGAGATTTTTTAACTAGCTTCGATTTAAGCTTGATACTTTTGCCTTTCTATCTATTGATCTTCTGAACTTTGATTTCCATTTAAACTTATTTTTTAGGTCTTCTCTACTTCCATTTAGATTTATTATTAAACTTGATTTTGTTAAAAAAATTCTTCATCATTTATTTTACTTGATGTATCAGGTATCTATACTTAATTTAACCCACTCAATTTTCCTTATTCCTTCTCTTGTTTTCTCGTTTGCTTAATCATTATTAGTTCTTCGATATCTTTATACGTTAATGTTGTTTAAGTTTCAACCTCCTTGAAAATTGTATTATGTTATTTGATAGGTGCATTTTCATTTACCTCATTTCGTTACTGAGAAGATACAGTTTGATTAGAGGAAATAGCCTCAGCATTAAAGGTACTATCTAAGTTTGATTGGCCCGAATCCTAATGTCTCTACTAGTGTTAGCAAAAGCATTAATTGCTAGAGAGATTCATTTATTATGAATTTTGATGATTTCTATCGTTACTATTCTAGCTATTATTAATGCCAGAACCAAATTTCTGGCCATTATTTTAGAAATCTTACTCCTGTTAATTATTTTAATTGCATTTTTATGTCCCTAATCCCTCGTTATGAGTACCAGTTAACGGAACACACAATAATCTCTCAGTGTATCTCCATTTTATTTCCTTTGTAAAATATGACACTGTTTCTTAATCAAAGTTTGTGAATCTTATCACTCTTAAGCTAGTATCATTTTGATCATTCTAAAAGCAAAAGTCTTCAGCAGCTCTGAATAAGTGAGCAGCGCATAAGTCTTTAGGAAATCCATAGATACCAGAAGATATAGCTGGAATTGAAACAGATTTGCACTTTAAATTAGAAGCTGTTTTGAGGGTGTCTTTAACACAGTCATACAACAGTTTTTCATCATCTCTTCTTCCCTATAAAATTTTTAAGATTTAATGGTGGAAATAACTTACATTAGTCCAAATTGGACCGACTGCATGAATAACATATCTGCAATTTGTCATATTTCCTGCTTTTGTGACTGCCCTTCCTGTACCTGTTTCAACTTTACCATTCTTATATATCAATTAATCAGAATCCTGTTAAATTGAAGGACCACCTTTTTTAGCGATGGCTAAAGCAAGTCCTCCTGAGTGAGATAAAAATTCGTTGGCAGCATTTGTAATTGCATCAACTTGCTCGTTAGTAATATCCCCTAAATTGACTGATACTTCAAGCCAGCCGCCAAGCAAGACCTTATTTTACCCTTTCATTTCGAATGACTAAATATCTTCTTCATTGTTGTTATCTCTATATTTTATTTCATTTAGTTGTGAAGTGCTAATTTTTCTTTCCAACAAATTTTGTTTTTAATCTTCGTAACCATGTCCACGGCTTCTATTTTAATTCCTATTTTGCTAAAAATTGTTTGCCTAATATCTTGGTTCTGTTACAATATCCTCCGCTTTTGCATAGCTCATCATCTAATCAAATTAGGTACTAGACATTGATGTATCATTTTGATATGAATTTCGTTTCGAATCTTCTTAGTAAGATGTATTGTGCTATCTTATCTCCTCATCATATTTTTAGTTGGTCAAATTTCTTTATCTGTGGTTGTTTGAGTCTGAGTAGTTTTTATCACTATGCCATTCTTCTTCTAATTTGCAAATTATTGAGAGGGTAATTTATTATTACAATTGTTATAAACTTATCGATTTTATTACCGATTCTTTAAAAATCCTTTTTTACTTCTGTTTTCATGCATTTTCTTTCGAGTTCTACTATTCAAGATTTGTTGCTTATTTATAAGTATTTTAATTTATATTTGATAATTCAGTTAATTTCCAAATTTAAATATTAAGGGGTTTTGGGGTTTTGGGGTTTTGGGG